TCACTTCTGTAGCATCTCTGGTTGATTTCACCTCTGCAGCAGCATCTGTGGCTGATTTCACCTGTGCAGCATCTCTTGTAGATTTCAACTCTGCAGAATCTCTGGTAGATTTCCCCTCTGCAGCATCTCTGGTTGATTTCACCTCTGCAGCATCTTTTGACTACTCCCCCTTCTCTCCTCTGACACTGTCCCCACCCTCCTACTGGTGCTCATCACCTTACATCTGGACTATGGCAATAGGCTGGGGGCTCCAACTTCTCCCCACTTCAGTCCATCCTCCACAAGACTGACATCCTATCGATCTTCCTAAAGCCCAACTCAGAACACTTCACTCTCTTGCTCTGACTGCCCATTGCCTCTGTGATCAAATTCTTCACAACTGGGCTTTGGACTCCTTTCTTGGGTTATCACACATTCTCCTTCACACACTCTACACTTCCTCTCCTGCACAAATAACCTTCCAGTTTCCTGCTTTCGCACAGCTGCTTCCTCATGCCAGAATGCTCACCTCCTCATCTTCACCTCTTAGATTCTGAATTTACTTTAAAGCTCAGTGCACGTCGGGTTCTACACAAGGCCCTTCCTGACTCCCCCACTTGCTAGGGCCCCTGCCCCCAATTCTTTTACCAGTACCTTGTATATTCACATCTCTGGGCCATGGGTTTTTCCCCCCAATAAAATATAAGGTCCTTGACGACAGGAACCATCCCAGTTTTGTCTTTCTATCTCCAGTCCCTAGCAGAGTGCCTGGCATACAGGAGGAGTTTAGGCAGGTTTTTTTTTTAATTAAAAGGTTAGCAAGAGGAGGAATATTTGAGGATAAAGTCACATTTTTTTTTTTTTTGGCAAGGCAATCGGGGCTAAGTGACTTGCCCAGGGTCACATAGCTACTAAATGTCAAATGCCTAAGGCTGGATTTGAACTCAGATTCTCCTGACTCCAGGACTGGTGCTCCGCCCCTAGGAATATTTGAGAAGAGAGGAAACAAGCCCAGCTAGGGGTGATGGGGCTGGCAGGCAGGCTCCTTATACCTGATTGAGCCCTGATGGAAGAGAAGTTTTACAACAGGTAGGGGGGAAGTGGGAGAGGCCTGAGGCCATGAGAGTAGGAAAGGGCACCTGAGGCAGCAGCACCTGGGCCAGTCAGGAAAGGCTCTTGTGTAGGACCCAGCATGTGCATTGGGCTTTGAAGGAAATTGGGGATCTAAGAGGCAGACATGAGGGGGACCCACATTCTAGGAATTCAAGGTGGCATATGAAAGGGAGAGAGGTGGTCATTATTCAATACATTACATTTATTACAACAATCGGAGTAATAGCTTAGACTTATGTGGGACATTAAAATTTATGAAATGCTTTATATCCACTGCCTGAGTCCAGCTGAAACCCAATTTATAAATCAGCAAGGATCTGAGTCCTCCTATTAACATGGTCCCTTGGCTTGACTGCTCATGCTATATAGCAATGAGACATGAGAAACAGAGCTGAGGTCCCCAAACCAGCCTTTTAAAATCATCTCAGGACAAAAAGCTGAGAATAGTGACCAGCAGCCTTACTGGCTCATCCCCAGGAAAAAGAATCCTGGAATACGGGACATTCACCTTGTCTCTCCCATTTCGGCAGAGACACGATCACAGATTTCCCCTCCGGAGCTTCCCTGCCAACCAGGGCACAGCTTTTTACAGGAAGTTGCCATTAAGACGGAATGCTTAATTGTTCGTTAAAATGGGGCATGGGGGTAGACTCGGGGAAGGCAGGGAAGGAGGCTACAACAGCTGACATCTTTGTAGAACCCACCCATGTCATCTCACTGGAGCCTCAGAACAGCCCTAAGAGGTAGGTGTTAACATTATCCCCCTTTTCCAGATGAGGCTCAGAGAGGGACTGACTTGGCCAAGGTCACACAGCCATTAAATGTCAGAGGCTGGAGTTCAGCCCAGGTTTCTCCTGGCTATGGCCTTTCCATTACCCCAGGCCATCCCTGGCTTATTCTGCAGCCAAAAGGCAAGAATTTAATTATTAAAGAAGATCACAGGTATTCCAGGATGTCATGAATGGTATTGATTAGCACTGTGGTATTTGGGAGACTGGAGCTTTGGACTGAGAGTTAGGACAGGTGGGTTTGAATTGCACCTCTAAGCTTTACTGTCTGGGGGAATATGGGGAAGCCATCTCATCTCTCTAAGCCTCAGTTTGCTCAGATGTAAATGAGGGGATAGGACTGAAGTCCCTCTAACATCTTTTTCGGGTTTAAAAAAAATTGATAACGGAACAAGCATTTATTAAGTATCTACTACATGCCAGGCATTGTGCTGAGTACTTTACAAACATAATCTCATTTGATTTTTACAACAACCCTGTAGGATAGATGCTATTACCTCCATTTTTACAGTTAAGGAAACTAAGTGACATGGTCATAGGGTCTGAAACCTGAAATTCAGGTCTTCTTGACTCCATAGCCAGCACTCTATCGACTGCCCCACCTCACCTCCTCTATAGCTTTACTTAAATCAATAAAGAGAGAAAGAGCCAATCAACCATTAGGTCAATGCAAATGAAAGCATCAGAAAGCCCACAGAATTTTAAAACCCAATTAAACACTGCAATAGAAATACTGAAAGTCAAAGAAGAAATTAATAATAAGAGCAAAAAGCCTAAATTAATAAGTGAAACCAAGAACTATTTTTTAAAATAAAAGTTGAGAAATCATTAGCTAATTTGATCTCAGAAAAGAAAGAAGAGAACCAAATGATCAGAAACAAAACTGAAAAAGCTGAATTCACAACTAACAAAGAAGAAATAAATAAAATTGTTAGAACTTATTTCACCAGATTTTATGCCAACAAAATTGACAATTTAACTGATGGATAAACATTTACTGAAATATAAAAGCCCAGATGAACCGATCAGGAAATAGAGGACTTAACCCAATCTTACAGAAAATGAAACACTCCATAAGTTTACTCTCAAAGGGAAAAAAACATGCATTATAATTTAAAGAACATTATGTTATAAACACATATAAATAAATATGTTATAAACACAATATAAATATACATACTAAAGAACATTAATATATAAACTATTGGCAAAAAGAGGAAAAGGAGTATTACCAAATTCCTACTATGATAGAAATATGGGTGTGATTCCATAATGAAGATGATGCTACAAACTCCTATTTCCACAGCACCCTAAAGCTTACAGAGGGCTTTCCTCCAGGTCCCAGCTCTGCCACCTTTTAGCTATCTGATTTTCGGCAAGCCATGCTGGCCTCAGTTTCCTCATTTGTAAAAAGGAGTGTGTCCTAAATGACCTCCAAGGTTCCTTCAAGTTCTAAGGCACTATGAGCCTCTGCATCAGCTTTTAACAAATACAAATTCCATTTTGGAAATGACCTCTGGGGCTCCGTGTCTGTCCTGGCATTATTTTTGTAAAAGAGCTGATGGGGCAGGAACGTCCCCCACACCTGATGCCAACAGCCCAGTGGCTGAGGGTTCTGAGCCTCGGGACATACCTGCAGTGAACAGTGATGGGCCCTGTGTGGGAAGGATTCAGGGTTTTCACTTTTTTCAGAAACTTCAGCATCCCAATGGGGGTGAAGGGCACCCCGAAGTCGGGCCAGCTGGTGAAGTGGAGCTGGGTCACCAGCCGTGGGGCTTTGCAGCCATCATGGAGTTGCTGAGAAGACATGGAAACCGAGGGTGAGCCTGGCAGGTGGCAGCAGCGACCCTGGCACTCGCAGGCAGCTGGAAATTCTGCCTGCTTCCCCTTAGTGCTGCCCCCAAGGGAATCCCTATCTCACTCAAAGCACTCCAGGCAGGAAGATACAGGTTCAGCTCCCATGGACACTTATTAGGTGTGTGTCCAGGGTTCAAAGTCCCTTGATTTGTTTGAGCCTCAGGTTTCTCATCTGTAAAATGGGAATAATAACACCTTTGGTGCCCACCCCACAGGATTGTTGCAACACTCAATTAAAATGATGCAATTAAAGCACTTGGCCAACTGTACAGCACCCCGTAAGTAACAGCTATCATCACGATCCCTAGTGCCTGGTACACACAAGGCACTGAAGAAACACTCGTTGACTCAATGATTGATTATGCCTGGATCAAATTTCCCACTGGATGCGGGAATCAAGAGGGTGGCCTGTCACATCTGTTCCTTGTGCTAGCATCCTGAGTTTGGAGCCAAAAGAGCCCTCAGCAGATGCCCTCTTTTCTAGATGAGGAAACTGAGGCCCAGGGACACTTGGCAAGAATGGCCAGAGACATTTTGCTCCTAGAAAAGCCCTCAGGCTCACTTGTTCCTGTTCTGAGCAATGCTGAAGAGCCTGGTGACCTGGATTCCCCAGCAATGACGGGCCAGAAGAAGCAGGGAGAGAACTTGGTAGGGAGGGAGGCAGGAGACAGAAGGAGAAGGAAAAGCAGACACAAGAACAGGACAGGCTTCGGCCTCTGATGATTCACTCTGAGGGTGAGAGTTTGTCCTAAACAGCCCCAGATCCTAGGTTTTGATGGAGGAAATTCTTGGCGTTGATGCTTCCTTCCATCCCAGAGCCAGCCCAGGAGAGGCCCAGCTGCAGACGGCACTCACCGACTGTATACAAAACTTCCGAATGGTGTAGTCCACCAGGACGATGCAGTCTTCCACAGAGACCCGGATGTTTCCATACATCCAGCATCCCTGGTCCGGCCAGTACTGATGGCATTTCTCCTAGAAGAATGAGAGAGGAGAGGTTAGCAGATTGGTGGCTCGTGCCTGCACACACACACACACTCACAAGCATACTCAGACACACACATACATACACATTTCTGCAGAGGCATCAACAGAGAGAAATCTCATTGAAGTCTTTCTGAAATGTGAGAGCTGGGAACTTGAGAACATTAATACTCACGGTGAGGAATTTCTCAACCAAAAGAAGGACTTGTACCAGTCTACTTGCCTGATGGTTGTAGAATTTAAACCTGCTTGGAAATGGCCTGGTTCAGCCTTCTCATTTCAGAGGAGGAGGCTGAGGGGAAGAGAGGGGAAATAATCTGGCCAAGACCATACTCAGTTCTCTCCCTGATGCCCTCCTACCCAAGCAAGTGCCAAGTATTGCTGATTGTGCCTCAACATCTCTGGTGTCGGGCACTTTATCTCCCCTCAGCACAGGGGCCACCTCCTACAATCACCCTGATTCCTCCCTCCTCAGTCATGGTATAAGTTGAGCATCCCCTTGGTAAGAGATTCTGACTTTATATGCCCACATCCCAGCTCAAGGCCTTGCACACAGTCGGTGCTTTAAAAAATAACTGCTGAAGGGGGCAGCTAGGTGGCACAGTGAATACAGCTCCGGCCTTGGAGTCAGGAGGGCCTGAGTTCAAATTTGGCTTCAGACACTTGACACTTACTGGCTGTGTGACCCTGGGCAAGTCACTTAACCCCACCTGCCTCACCAAAAAAGAAAAAAAAAGCCAAACAAATACACACACACACACACACACACAAACTGCTGGAGATTGAAGCATAATTTTTTTCACTTTATTTCTTCTTGTGCGTATGTTTTCTTTTGCAATATTGCTAATATGGAAATACTTTCTGTGTCGCTTCACATGTATAATTGATAACATACTGCTTGCCTTCTCAAAGGGTGGGGAAGGGAGGGAATTTGGAACTCAAAATTTTAAAAAAATCAATGTTAAAATTTTTTTAATGTAATGGGGAAATAATTATTGAAATAAAAATGTATTTTAAAAACAACTGCTGGATTGAAGGAAATGCTAGTGAATTGTCGAAGCAGCAGGTGGGGACCCCAGTCTAGACGGGGGGCCTGCAGCCTCTCCCAAGCAGAAGGGGTGTCATCTGAGTCTCGCAGCGGTGGTTTTTCTAGCACGTATCACTTATTAAATGGCCCCTTTTTGAGGCACAGATATGATCTGTATTTCAAGTGAGGTATAAAACCAAGAAGCACCAGCAGTCACAGGGAGCTTTGCCCAGGACGCGGCATCGACACCTTCCTAACCTGGCTGCCTCTTGTCCTTCCCTCCCTTCTGATCTGTCAGTCCCCCCTCTCCACCAGACTCCACAAGTCAGTGACTCTGGCCTTCTGGCTGCTCCCCCTCGCACACACAGCTCCATCTTCCGACTCTGCGTCTCACACAAAAAATATCTTTCTTTCACTTTCCTGGGCTGTGAGACCCAAGCCGACCAGTCACTGGCTGGTCACACCAGCTGCATCTGTGTGCACAGGATGGGACAAATGACGACAGCTGAGTCGCTTTCCACGGATGTGAGGCGTCTCCTTTGGTGCTCGGATTCTGGGCCTACTCTGAGTCCAGGAGCCTGGGTCCCAAGGATGGGCTCTTGACATGGCGGCCCTGTCTAAGACTGTGGGTCTGGCTTCTCACTCGTCCTAGCAACCCAACCAGAGAAGGCGATCACAGAAGACCAGCCGTCTCTCCTTGGCCTGGGCTCTGACCACACACACACACACGTCACAGTCATCACAGGCACGTTCCTGGGGGTCTTGCTGGCTCTTTCTATTGAATCAAGGTGCCCTCCCCCACCTCAGTTTGGTTTTTGGAAAGCAGAATGGATATTGAAAAAGGGCGGGAAGGATCCAATGGGAGAAGCCAGTCCCACAGGCCTGGGAAGGTCCTGAGAATAAAATTCCAAAGACCCCAGAAGAAATGACTCCAGTGCAGCCATGAAAGAGGGAGCTGAAAGAAGAGGCCAACATGGCCCCACGGGGAGCTCATCTCCCTGTAAAATAACCCTTTGGAGAAGGTGGAATAATGGTGGCTGGCATTAACATGGCACCCGAAGGAGTTCATAGCACTTCACGGACACAAGCTGTGATGTAAGTCCTGCGGGTACGACTAGACCCATTTTATAGAAGAGGAAATGGAGGCTAAGGAACTTGCCCAGGGTCACACTGCCGGACTGGAGCCCTGCCCTGGCCTTCATCCTGACACCAAGCCCAGCATTCTTTCCATGCCACAGCCACCCACACCCCACCTGTTATTCTACAGGGAACAAGGACCAGTAACTGAGCACAGATAAACAAGAAAGCGTGGCCTGGGGGAGCCCAGAATGACCTGGGATTGGTTGGAAACAGCACCAACAATCACGAAAGGGTCGGGTTTTTAAGCTCTCCTGGGGGGGCAGGAGAGCCAAAGGTGGCCAGGACCCTCGCCTGCATGGATGGTGGGATGATAGCAGACATCTGGAAGAATAGAAGACTATTTGCTAACAATATTTATACAGCACCTTGTATATATGTGCTAGCATATATTACGTCATTTATATCTTGGGGCCTCCCCTCTCTCAGTCATCTCCCGTTCACCGTTTCTCTCTTCTTTGCACACAGGTGTCTGCATGCTCTCCCCCACGAGGCTTCGGGGGCAGCCACAGCACACAAAGCACTGGGCCTGGGCTCAGAAAGACACGAGTTCAATATCTGTCATATATATATGTATTATAGTAGCCCATATTTATGTAGCACTACGTGCCAGGCACTGTGAAGCAATTCTCCATTATTGTCTTATCTGCTCCTCACAACAACCCTGGGAGATAAGGGCTATTATCACTCCCATTTTACAGACGAGGAAACCGAGACAGACAGAGGTTAAGGGATTTGCCCAGGGTCACACAGCTAGTAAGTACCTGAGGCTGGATTTGAACTTAGGTCTTCCTGAGTACAGGCCCAGCACTCTCTCCACTGCACCACCCAGCTGCCTCTTAACATGGAGCCGGGGTAACAGACAAAGCGTGAAACAGTCTCTACGCAAAAGGCGCTGACATTCCAACAGGGAAGACCACAAGCATACCTGCATCCATAGTGATACTGAACAAAAACAAAATAAATAGAAGGATGGCAGGGAGGATGCACAAAGAGGCTGAAAATACAGGCGGAGTCCAAGTGGTAGAAGGCTTTAAAGAGCAGACGAACTTCTACCTGGTCCAAGAGGCAACCAAGAGGTATGGTGTGTGTGCATGTATGGATGTGCACATGCGTGTGTGTATGTATATTGAGTGATTGTGTGTCTATATGTCTGTGTATGTGTGCACATGTGTAGAGCGTGTCTGTGTGTGTGTGTCCGTGTGTGTGTGCATGTGTGTGTGTATGTATGTGTGTATATGGCAGAGCCAGAGACAGAGACAGAGAGACACCTGCATTCATCCCCACGGCTAGGACAGGCTCCATTACACCCTCCTCCAGGCTCCTCTGGAAGAGACCTCAGACACTATTCAGTGCAACCTCCTTATTTTACAAATGAGGACACTGAGGCCAAGGGACATCACATGACTTGTCCAAGGACACACGTGTAGTACATGACCAAGCTGGATGCTCTAACTTCTGTGGTTTGGCCAGCAAAGAATCACACAACCTCCCTGACCCTCCTACAGCTCTGTGAGCACCTCAGCACAGACTAGGGGACGAGGCTAGGGGACAAGGCCTTGTTCCTCCTACCTGGGAGGCATTTTGGATTAAAGAAATGAAGACCATTGGACAGTCATGATTTTTCAGGAAATGCAACCTGGAGGGTGAGGGGGTGTCTTGGGGGAGCGCTAAGCCCAGGTGCCTAAGAATCTCATTTCACCAAGGTGCCTCCTGTTTTTTGACTGAAGGGGCGGGATTTCACAACCGTGGTCCTGGTGGGTGGAGAGCTGAGAGCCCCAAAAAAGCCTCTTCAAATCAGGAAACAGGAACCCGATTGAGGAAGGAGTTGGTTAGAAATGATTAATCTCAGTTAGAGAGAGAGGGCAGGGAAGGGTGAGTCAGGGCGTGGGCTGGGACAAAGCGCCCCGGAGGCACTCGGGAGGAGGGAAGGTGTCCGAAGGGCCCCCCCCCACCCCGGGCTTCCTCATTTTCCCCCCAAGCATGGGATGAAGCTGCCCCTGGTCCCATCAGAGGCTCCAAATCAGAAGCTTCTTTCTCTGGAGTGGTAAGGGGGCTCCAGTTCATCAGTGTTTCTGGTCATCTGAGAGTTCTCAGGGGCAGCTCATTGAGGAGGGACCTTAGAAAAGCCCACTTATGAAATGAGCGGTTGGCGAGCGGCCTTGGGTGCTCCAAGCTCTAACTCTGGGCTCTTTTCTAAGCCTCCTTTCCGGCGGATGCAGCTGGGAATGGCCGGCCAATCCCCTCGGCTCTGGGGCCTTCCCTCTGCTCATCCGATGGATCCTTCCTCTGCCTTGTTTGGGCCTAGTTGCTGGCCTGTTGTCTTCCCTACTAGACTGGCAGCTCCTTGAGGGCAGGGACAGGCTTTCACCTTTCTTTGCATGCTAAATTGCCTAGCACATAGTAGGCACTTAGTATATGTTAATAACTGACTATGTGCTTCACAAGTGTATTGAGACGTAAGCTTCTTAAGGGCAGGCACTGACTGACTGAAGAAACATTTATCAAGGCTCAGGACTGGGGATATAAGAAGAAAAGAAAAGACAGCCCCTGTCCTCCAGAAGCTTGGAGTCTAACAGGGGGACACCGCACCCACAAGTTGGGGGGTGCTGCCAGATCCCAGGAGAGCGGATGGAGCGCCAGGTGCTCCCCATGGGCCTTCCTGCTGCTCTGATCCCCACTGGGCAAGGCGCTGGCATTGAGGACTCGGGACAGGGGGGAGAGTCATCAGTGGGGGGCTGGGGTTGCCAAGGGCTGCCAGTACAGCTGAGAAGGAATGGCCCCGGCGCCTGTGGGCCAGCCTCTGTACTGAGCAGTGCAGGAGGGAATTAAGAAGCCACCTTCAAGAAAGTCTGTCTTAGGCTCAGGGTCACTAGGCCTTGAAACCAAGGAAGGAAATCACTGAAACCCACCTTCTGCTGCGCCTTCCCAGTCCTCCTCCATCTTGGGGTCTTCCCTCTCTCACTTATCTCCAATTCACTGTTTTTCTCTTCTTTGCACACAGGCGTCTGCATGTCCTCTCCCCCATGAGGCTATATGCAGGAGGCTTCAGGGGCGGCCACAGCACATAAAGGGCTGGGCCTGGGGTCAGAAAGACACGAGGTCATATCCAGCCTCAGACACTCCCTAGCTCTGTGACCTTGGGCAAGTCACCTAACCTCTGTCTGCCTCAGTTTCCTCAATCCTTAAATGGGCTTAATAATAAATAGCACGTATTTTGCAGGATCGTGGTAAGGATCAGCTGAGATAATATTGGTAAATGCTTAGCCTGACCCAGAGTCCAGGCTTAATAAATGCTCTTTTGTTTCCTTCCTTCAGGGCAGGATTGTTTACTTTTTGCCTTTCTTTGTATCGCCTGGGCTTAACACAGTTAAGCCTGGCACATAGTGGACGCTTAATCATACTTGCTAGTTGACTGACTGATGTCTCCCCTAAAAGAAGCCAGGCAGAGATCATCGGCTCAGCATGGAACAGAGCCCTGGGGCTGATATCAGAAGACCTGGATTTGGAATCTGGCTCTTCTGCTCCCCGGGTGACCGGAGGCCAGGCCCTTTTCCTTTCTGGGCCTCAGTTTCCTTCTCTATAAAATGAGGGCCTTGAGCTCCCCCCCTCCCACACACCCAGGTCCCTTCTGGCCCAAAGTCATGGGATGCTGGGACCCCTCACCTGCCTCTTTCCCCTGGTGCAACATCTCCTGACCACTCCCCCTTCTTTCCTCTGCCACTGTCCCCCTCTTTGTGAGGGTCATCTCTGTGGAGTCTCTGAGCCCAAGACCTGGGCTGGAGGTGGAGACGTTCTTTTCAAGTGTACTGGAGCCCTCTATCAGCCCTTTATCAACCTGCCCCTTGAGTCTGGTTAAAAAGAGCTTCGTCCTTCTCACTCTTGCCACAAGGGCCCCTTCCCTTTCCCCGCCTCCATCATCAGGCCCACTTCTTGCCCACATTCTTCAGAGTTAGCACTTTGCATGGCTCCCACTTCCTGGGTGACTCCAATTGGAAAAAACCACTCAAGTCAGATGAGGCATTGCAAGACTTTTCAATTATAAATAGCACAAGGCTGTCCACAGAATAAGATGGAAAATCAACGATCTGCCTCAGTCATCAGAGGTTTGACTTGGAGATGAAAATGCTGCAAGCCCCTGAACCTCTGGGCCACTGTGGTGGGGAGGGAGGAAGGCAGGAAAAGGAAGTGGTTAGAGCAGGCATCCCAAGGCCGCGGGGGCGGCCCTTTGTAAGATGTGAGACAACCCCCTTACCTCTTTTCTTTCTTTCAAGTTGGTCAGCATGACAATGGTTGCCGACTTCTGCTCCCAGACCATCCTCCAGAAGTCATTGACCGTCTCCTGTTTGGGGCCTGCAGATGAGAGAGAGGGCCACAGTCAAATGGCCGGCCACAGGACCTGGCCCCCAGGCAGCCTGAGGCCGTCCGCCAGATATGTGCTCACCACCAGCTCTAAGGAGCAGAGGGAGAGAGCTCTCTTCTGCCAAGCTGGACGACACAGATCCAACGTGTCAGGGCAGGCAGGGCAACTGGCATTTACTAAACCATGACTATGTGGTGGGCACTACGTTCATGGATTTCAGTCCATTCATTGACTGAAGCACTTGGCTGGTTAGTTGGACAAATGGACCCTGGGAGAGGACCAAGCCCCCTCTGACAAAGCCTTGGTCATCTGGGAGTGAGGTCAGGGAGAAAGGGTCCTAGCATGAGGATGGGGTGCTGGCTCTGGCTCCATGCCTCGACAGCTGTGAGACCAAAGGCAAATCACGTCGCCTTCTATCGCCCCGTGGCAAATGGAGACAGCAGAAGTCATCTCCCATACCAGGAGGGCAGAGTGAGCCAACGGGCAGGAAGGTTCTCGATCACACAAAGAATCACTATCTTCAGGCTGAACCAATAGTAGTAGATGAACTAGGCGTGGGCACCATGGATGCGGTCCCTTCCTGTCCGTTGGGCACCATGCCTGTCTGGGGATGGCAAGATGGCCAGCACCAAGGAGTATCGGAAAGGGGATAAACAGGGCCAAGCTGCCTCTGACGCCACAGAACCTTTAGAAGCTAAATCAAGAATGCTATCACTTTGATCGGTGTGACAGTCCATGAAAGGCCTTGGAGAAGGTATTCAGTGACTACATACATGTGTATATACACACACAGTTGGTATAGAATCACAGAAATTTCCTACACGGAATGCACACACACACACACACACACACACAGAGGTTTAGCACGAGGTTGGAGAGGGTCTTATAGATGTAGGAAGCTGAGACTCAGAGAGATTGATTGATTTTCTCAGAATCACACAGGTAGTAAATGGGGGAGTCAGGATTAGAACTCAGATTCTTGGACTACAAATCCAGCCCTTTCCCGAGATTATGCATTTTTAATGGAGACTACACAGGGGATTGAAGCTGCTGGGGGTAGGAAGAACTGGGTCTTGCCTCTGACCCATATTGGGTGTGGCTGGGTGGGGTGGGGGCTCTTTTACTCTTGGGGCACCAAGTCGACTTATTCTTAAGATTCTAAATTAGAGATGAGCTGCCAACCTGAATTGGTGGAGGGAGCTGCCACGCTAGGAATTCCCCACGCCAGTGTACTCACAGGTGTGGACAGAAAGAGACACCTACATTATACATGCCAATACACCCCACCTACCCACGCCTGCACACACCACAGCCTGCATGCGAAGCCTACAAAGGCTGCCCAGTGTGTTTTGTGGAGTGAGTGCTACAAACAGGACACCTACTTTATTGATGGAGGCAGAAACCTGGGGAGGCGGCAGCCTGCTCTGACCAGGCCGGGCCCTGAGGGCCTGCCTACACATGTGGAGCCCACCTGTGTGGCGGAGGATAGAGTTTCCCTGCAGGTTAACACAAAACCTCAGTGCTACTGCTGCTTTCAATCATCTCCCACACGAATGAGAAGGAAACAAAGGGGCAGAAATGAACTGGGTGAAACACTTTACCTTGAGCAGCGATGAATTTGTTCTTCTCTTTGTAACCCTGCAAAAGGAAGATGGTATTTGTGATTCCCTGCGGTGGTTTCAGTGACCGTCAGGGAGGGCTCAGGATAGGCCCTGGCCTCATGATGTCATTAGTCTACGGAGCTCCTGGGTGAAAACAATCCTCTCTCTCAGTGCGGGTCCCAGTCTTCTCTGCTGTTTATTGTTATCCCAGAGACCTGCTTGGGGCTAAATGACTTGACCCAGGAGAAACCATCTGAACCCAGGTGTCTTCCTGACTCTGAAGCTAAGTCTCTACCCGCTGAGACACACTGCCAGTCATGATTTACCTAAAACCAGGTATTTTAGTAGCATTGGTTGAGGAGAAAACCCTTGGCTTACGTCTATGTACGAAGCATTAATGTAGTCTGAGCATGGGATTCCATCCACTTGGCTGAGAATCACCCTGGAGTGGTCATCTGGAAGGAAAGAAAGGGGGTGTCAGCAGAAGAGTGCCCCCCAAGCCACATCGAGCTGGTGTCTGTCCTGCTGCCTCAAGGAACAGCCTGCAGCCCCATTGGAAGACCCATTCGAGGGGCAGCTAGGTGGTCCAATGGATAGCGCACCGGCCCTGGATTCAGGAGGACCTGAGTTCAAATGCGGCCTCAGACATATAACACTTACTAGCCATGTGACCCTGGGCAAGTCATTTAACCCCATTGCTTAACCAAACAAAAAAAAAAAAAAAAAAAGGAAGACTCAATCGAGCAGACTGGGCCCATCCAGCCATCTCCCTAAAGATGCTTCTCCGTTTCTAGGTGCTGGGCTAGGGTGTCTGAGTCAGGGATTGCTCTGGACTCTTAAAGTCCAGAAAATGAAACATTCCCTGGGGGCCACAGAACACTGGAAGGTTCAGGAGATCTAAGATGAATGGTTTTTTCCTCCAAATTAACCCTGAACCAATGAGAGCCTCTCATCCTCAACTCTAGAGCCCCAAGACGTGGGCTCTGGGTGGGCAAAACTTTGGATCTCTCCTTTGTCCCCATTCCATTCCACTTCTAAATTATACTGACAGGTGAATGCACTCATGCGGGTCTCCCCTTTGACTCTAAACTCCATGAGGGCAGCCCCTCATTCGCCCAGAGCCTCACACTCAGTGAGGGTTGGCTTGAAATGCATCAGGCAGCTTATGAGGCCTGAAGGAAGTGGGGAAGGCCAGCACATTAATACTCAGAAAGATTTCTCTTGTTGACCCAATGGTTTGAACTTGGCAGGCCTTCCCGGGTCCATCCAGGTCAGCCTGTGCCTAAGCCCGGATGCCTCAGCAAGCCTCTGGATGAAGCGGTGAAGGCTTCTAGGATGACAGCTTTGCAATCTGGACTTGGAAACGCCCTAGGGGGACGTGGCGGGGCTAGCAGATTCAGCTCCAGCCTTTGACTCGGGGGCCTCGATCCCTGGGAGTGACGCTTCCCAGAAGCCCCCCCCTTCCCTCCCTCCTGCCCCCATGCTCTGAGAAGACCTGCAGGCACCTGGGAGCTAGAGGGAGGGCAGGACCAGGAGAAGGGAGGCGTGTGGCTGGACCCAAGATGCTGGCGACATTTCTCTTTCCCCTTTTCCTTTCTCCACAGCTCTGGTGACCGTGGACAGCAAGGGCCTGGCTGTGGGAAGAAGCTGCCTTCCCAGAGGCCCGGGAAGGGCCACCTTCTTGACCCCTAACGATGTTTGGTATCTGT